AGACAAAACAGAGTGAGAATGAGTTTGCAGTAAATCAGGAAAATATGAGGAAAAAATATAATAAAGAGTGAGGAAAAAAGAGCGCACAAAGATTTTTGGGGGGTTTTGTTGACTGTACTGTCATTTTGCTGCAAAATGCACTTTTCTTATGATCAGCGTTTAAAGTATATGTTATTAAAAGAATTTAAATTATTCAAACCATAAAAGTTGTTCATTTTTTACAGTAATTTTTATCATTATTTTGCTGTTGCTTATGTATAATGCAATAATAAATGTATATGTTTATACAGTACTGTTATAATTTACCTCTATCTTGAACAATGTGGGGGGTTGCCAGTTGGGCTTATTTTAGAGCTGGTTGCTTGTTTCTGTTGCGAGATCTGGCAACACTGTTTGGCATCTTTCAACGTTTCACAAGTTTTAGCAGAGTTGAGCTTCATGTTTTTCTGCTTCTCTTCTAAGATTTCACTCATCATCACATTTAGCACAACAAGCACATTTAGGAATATTGTGTTGCGAAGTTATTTTAAAGCTTCGGTCCTTATGGGATTACAAACTCTCCATTGAATCCATGGCAACGTAGACAAAACTGAAAATAAAGCACATTCTCTAACAGCATGACTGCACACAAGGAGGGTAAACTCACGACTGACTCCAGTCAAGGTTTTGTGCTTCATTAATCTGCCATTCAGAGGACGTAATCATCTTTAATTTGTCAGCTTTTGCTCAATGAGTCTTTTTTTTAACCTCTCCCAGGTTGACCTGCCGTAGAATATTCTGTTTGCCTATTATTATTATTATTTATTTTTTTTTTACCTTCTGCTGAGACAAAGCAGATTTTATCCAGAGGGGTGTCTGCTTGTTAAAYATATCTGGACTTAAACCAGATTATTTTTAAACCTGGTGGGTAAATATGTCCTTGGACAACACACCGGGTCCCTTCAAGGCTTGGCTTCCACACACTAACATGCCTGTGTATAAATATACACACACACACACACACTCACAGTATGTGTTCAGCGTATTGTGTTGATGAAATATGGACGCCTGAGGCTCACGCACGCCTGTACACATAGGGTTGCTGAGCAGTCGGTAACACGGTGTAGGCTGCTGAGGAAATTAACAATTAGCGAGCAAATAAAGATTAATTAAGACAAATAGCCGTTTTCTATTTAACCTTTATTCCTGTGGAGCTCTCATTGATTAGTTATCTCTAATTAGGAGGAAGATGTTCTTCAAAGATAAACTGTGAGGCTTTCAATGWGTTTGGAGCTAAAAATGTTAATAATTTGGAAAAAGAAGTACATTATATTAAATATTTGATGATAAAATTAACACAAAAATGGTAATTATGCAGCTGGGAATACAAATTATAGTGACCAGAATAAAAATCAGCAAAAGGATTAGATGATCAATATCTCAACAAGCCTCATAATTATTTATTACTAAAAAAAGAGACATGAATTGACCTTCAAACTGTGGTGATCGAACTGACCAGATGTGGTTAAAGAATAAACAATGATTCACAAAGATTAAGGGATGAACTAGTGACATCATCAACTAAATACTGGATATAATATTACTGTATATATTGATCACACAGTAAAAAATAAGTCCTGGATATGAAACATAAATGTCTATGAGACTCAACTGGACGCAAGTTCAACCAAGACTAATGCTTTATAGCTACCCCACATACAGTAGAAAGTTTGTCTGGCCCAATTCTGGCCCACAAAAAAACTAAAAACTCTAACAGTCGGCTCGGATACCACAAAGAATGACCATCTATTGGTGGCTGTGATGTCATTTGTCAAAGGTGGACCATGCATGGGCCAACAACACACCCCAACTGGGCCATTTGTGTCACTGACCGATTTGGACCACATAAACCAAACCACAACTTGACCATTTGTAATGTTGACTGATTTGGGCCACAAAAATCAAACCACAACCAGGCCAGTTGTGGCATT